CAAAGGACCAAAGGGGAACATTTATAGATTGGGAACAAATGGAAAGGTGACGCCGTGGGCTGATGAACTATTGCTTTAATATTATTGTCATCAGTAACATTATAATTATTATTCTTATTGTTATAATTATCGGTTTCATAATAATAATAATAATTAGTAGTAGTAGTAGTAATAGTAGTAGTAGTATTAGTAATGAATTCAATTTGATTTTAATTATAAACAGGGATCCAATTGATTAAAGTTGTTTCTGTTGACTTTCTCGCAACTGTATCTTGAAAATGGTCTCATCTTTGGCACCCCTAACCCTTTTTTACATCTCGAACATCTCCTTACGCAGTTCAAGAACTCTAGAACTTAATTCAACCACAACTTGAAACTGGGTCACCTTGGCAATTTCTTGCAGTCAAAAAATCCTACACAAAGGATATCTAGTCTATACTTCTATTTCCTCCCAACTGGTAGGTTGACCTCAAGTGTACTTCGCCAGCTGTTGGAGGATCTTATTACAGAGATCACTTACCACCGCTTACAATGCTGATAAGAAAATCCCAAAGTGGGTTTACGACTGGTGATAAAGTCTACCTTCAGAAGCTTGCGGTAGAAAAGCTTCAGGAGTTATCTGCTGGTCATGGGGGATGGAACGCAGACATGGAAAGGGTTCGTTTAGGACTCGTTTTCACGGACTCATAACACTATCTAAAACACCCAGAAACATTTTAATGCTTAACCCTGATTTGAGGCTCAGAGATCCTGAAAGCCTCAGTATTCAATTCCTCATAAGGTTTCATTGGCCCTCCCCTATGAGTGTAAAATGTCCTTTGTCTCTTGCATATCCTCTCACATTTAAGCCAATTCAGTGATGTGTCGTTAACAAATCCCATTTAGGAAACAGTTTACTTGTATCCACAGTATATAGCAAAAATTGGAGTCGTACAAGATTTCACTACCAATGGTGACGTTGTTGTAGAATATCGCGACGCAAGATGGCCTTACAATCCAGCAGCTTTGACAAAGGTAATGCTAACGCAATCATTTGTCACGCAAAGAGGTTCTTACTTCAAATTAGTTAACTATATCGGTGTTATGAGGGTGTCCTGAGTTTTTTTAATGTTCGTAAACATTGGCAATCAAATATATCAAAAGGAGTGGCTTAGATGATCAAGAAATATCTTACATAAGTAACTTAAGTCAAAATTTATATGGTTTTTCCAAAGTTAAAACACTCACAATGTGCTAAATTTCTGACTGCACAAAATGGACGCCTTGTGAGTACTGATAATTTAAAGCATAATTATTCGATTAACTGGCCAACAGAAACAGGTAATATGGAGTGGGACAGGAAACACTCCAATAGCTAGCTAAAGGACATTCCACTGTTAAATATATATATATATATATATGTTTTTTTTTTTTTACCCAGATACAAAAATTTAAGCAAGGCGATGAAGTCTTGGTTAAAAGTGATGAGAACTTAGTCAAAGAGCTCCAAAAAGAACATGGAGGATGGAACGAGTCCATGATATCAGTAAGTTTAAATTTTGTCTCCACTACACAACAAATAACACAGAAGTATACACCAAATAAGTTTATTTAGGGAAGCCTGCCGAGAACCAACCTAAGGCATATATAGCCCGGGGCATGCATACATACATATATTCGCAACTGATATAACATATACAATCCTGATATACAGTCAATTCCTTACACATTTAAAAAAAAAGGTATACATTACCAACATGCAAACTTCACCAAGTCTGGATTAACAGAGATGGGCAACCGCTTACAAGGACATAACTACGGTTATACAGAGGCCAGAAAAAACCTGCCAGAAAAATTCCCTTTAGGGAAAAAACATGACAGGAAATCTGCGTCGGAACCATGGCCCAAACTCAGAGCAGTTGGCAGCCCATCCTACGAGGCTTCACAGCTAAAGAAAATATGTTTTCAAACTAAAATAAATTTGTCATCAGCCAGAGGTGAACGGTTGGTTCTGAGGCCTAGATGGACACCACGTGCTATACTTTCCCTTATATACCACTGCATCATTACCCATGATGCTCGGGCCTAAGGCCTAGGCCTTGTCGTATCTCGTGGCGACAAAATATTTATTTCTGCCTTAATCGCAGACTCATTCGTCAGAAATACCATTTTTTTTTAAATTTTCTTTCAATGTTTATATATTTTCTCATTTTTTACTTTAGTTGTTATTTTAGGCTTTCACTTGGACGTAAACGCAAACTCCTGTGGGCATGTGCGGAAGTTAGGGATGTAAACTAAAAGAAGCTAGAGGGGTAAACGATACACGCCACAACTCTGGAGCCAATTATATGTCTACCTCCACAAACCGTTGAAACAATAAGCAGTTTTAAACAGGATAATATCCTATTTTAATCCATTTGTAGATCCTTGGTCGCACTGGAAAGGTATTGGCGGTTGATAGTGATGGTGATGTTTTAGTGTCAGTAGAAGGCACCAGATGGATGTTGAGCCCGGCTGCTGTGACCTCTGTCACTGACCCAGAACCCCAGCAGTTAACAGAGGCTGGTGACGTGGGCAGCGAAGATCCCTTAGGTACAAAGTTATGGCACAAATGTATTGAAAGTTAAAGTAAAAATGGCCAATCTAGGTCAGAAGAGAAAAACCTCTAAAGCGCGTGAAACGTCAGTGACTAGGTCGTCATTAGCTACAACTATGCGTCTGATTGGCTAAAATGATGGCATAATAAGTATACTGCCATAAGTATAATTATCCTCACCAATCCTTTTGTCATTTTTTCTCCAGGGCTTTTCAGTCTCTTTAGAGACTTCCTACGTCAAGCTCAGGAACAGGAGGACCCCGGCCTTGTGATTGCTGCACAGAGTAACAACCTCTCAAGACTCAGGGAAATCTTGGACGCCAACCCAGAACGGGTACCTTTTTCCTTTCATCTCTTTTACTTTTGCAAAGGGCATTTGCAAGTCTGAACAGTTTTCTTAAATCAAAGCAAAATGATAAATATTAGCATAAGAAGAGAACTGTGTAACTTAGGTTTTAGTAAACAGTGATATCTAAAAGGATAAGATTTAAGACACATCATTGTAATATCAATTTATGATTTAGAATCAAATTTGAAATCGGTGGCGTTTTAGAAAATTTGCCATGATCAAGGGTTTGTGTCTTTCGTTCTGCACAGATTGACGAGCTGGAGGGTGGTCACACAGCTCTTCATGTTGCATGTCACCAGGGGCATTGTGAAATCATTAGAGAATTGCTTGAAAGAGGAGCTAACATAGATGTACAGGTGAGTAGTCATAATTTTCTTATCATTACCGTTATTTTTTGCCCTGTTAAAATTATTGTAATCACTGGTGTTGCACGAGGAAGAAAACCAACCAACCAACTTTTGCCGTGGTTGTCGCATGATCGACAAGCATATGTTATTATTTTGACATGCATTCGTATTCTATTTATCTAAGTGTTTCAGGAGAGAACCTCCTCATTCATACTTTTACTAACTCAAAATACAGGATAATCAGGGATACACAGCCATGCATCACTCTACCTACCAGTAAGTTGACATATAAAAAAAGTAATTCTAAGTTAGCTAGTCAAACATATAATTATAGTCCCAGATTTATTTCGTTGTGCTTTCCTACGCCAAGCGATTGCTTCCGAAAAGTTAAGCTATCCTCTCAATAGAAAAACAAAGAACGAAAACCACTGAAAACGAAGTAACTCTTGCTGTGCTTTAATTCGACAGCATGTGATTGTTCTTTGTGTTCATCTATCCGCCAAGACATTATTGCATGCTCTCACTGGCCCTGATTGCTTAGCTTTTGGTTTTACGACGCTTGCAGGAGCCAACGCAAACCAACTGCATGTTATTGCTCATACATTTTCCCTTATAACAGTCACGTGAACATTCTTAGGAAAGCAAAATAAGTAACCCCTAAGTTTAACAAAAACGCAGAAATGCCCGATGTTTTGTTGCACTCCTATCCTTATGATCATTCAGAGACGAAAGCGGTGAAGCATTGAAACTGTTGCTGGAGAGAGGTTTCGACCCAAATGTTCAACACAGAAGTAATAGGAGCACACCGTTACATTTGGCTGTGAAAAGGAAAAACGAAACGGCAGTACAGATCCTGACACAGTGCTCTGAGTGTGACGTCAATCTACAGGTACGTTGGTTCCTTTGATGATATCAGTTCTCCTGGGGATACAAACTCCTGATGCTTTCTCGACTGTCCGACTAATTTAGCAAACATTGCACATATTATTAAGAAGCATTTCCTTCTAAAGTTTAAAACTATGTTGCCCTTTGTTTATTTAAACTTACATAAAAAGTCTAAGACTTGCCGTTGGAAACTCAACTGGTTTGGCTGCTGCACTGGACTATTTGAAGTTTGCACCCATCCTTAATGTTTTCATTCTACCATTTTCGTGCTCAATTTGACAATTTTCAGGACGAGGCAGGTGATACCCCTCTCCATGATGCCATCCTTGCAGAACACCACAACATGGTGGATATGCTGTTAGACTGTCCAAGAATTTGTTACACACTTTGTAACAGAAAAGGTTTCAATTATCTTCAACACGCTGTTTTGAAAGGAAATAAACGGTAAATATGCCAAAAATAATCACATCGGTTTGACAGCTTAATTAAAGGAAAAGTACTACAGCTAACTAATCAGGTGCTTGGCATTTGATGGATCATTAGTACCCAGACACAAGAAATATTGTTCAACTGATCGTCGCAGTTTCGAGACGACTGGGTAATACTTGTGATCATAGGGAAGCTAAAAAGCTCATACGCAAACTAAGGTCCAACCTGAAGTTCATGATCTTTCTGATCGTTGGGGTCGTTGGTCATCACTTGGCCTGGTTTTATATAACTTGGACAACTGGGACAATGAGTGATCAGGAGGAGACCAGACCAAACATCGGTTACAAAATTACTCTTATGCTGTTACCTATATTCGCTTTGACATTCAATACATCTATTGTTTCATTTTTTACAGCGCCGTGGAAAGAATTTTTGCCAAAACCGGGAATTCTTTGAATGTTGTCAAAGATGATGGGTTTACGACCCTTCATATTGCAGCAATTAATGATCATCGTGAGATAGCTAAGATCCTTTTAACAAAGGTAATTTTATAAAAAAAATTTATCTATTTTTTTTCCATTTTTTTTTTTAATTTAAACTTTTTTTCGCGCGTAAGACTCCTTTTGTGGTTAAACTGCTTAAATAAATTTGAGTGTCGTAAGTGTTCAATCTCGGAACGGAATATAACTTTGTGCATGTGGTTAGCTGGGATATTTAACATTACTATTACGTCTATTATCCAATTGTAAAAAGTAAGAAAGCAAAAAGCTGTCATTTGCGTTTCGGTCATTTCACTGCAAAAATTGATAGCTATAAGGCTTACGTGTAGGTTTTACTCTGCCTAAGTGGTTCATACCACCAAACTGATATCCTTGTTTGCCGCGTATTGTTAAACAAATCTTTTCTGTTTGAGATGCTACTTCATCATTGTATATTCCATAAAATTCCGTCCAGATGTCCTCTCCTGGCCAGAGGGAGGCGCTAATGGACGTTTCCTTCTTTAGAACACAGTGACCCAGGCAGATCTCAATGGTAAAGAACCCGGGTCTGGGGTCCAGACTGCTAACCGTCAGGCCACTGCGTATTCTTGCTATCGACAACTTTAACAAAAGTTTAAAAAACCATTTTAATGATCATCTGAATTCTTACTGATAAAGATACTTTGATAATTAGAGTATATGTTTTATCTAACAGCCAGAGTGTGAGGTCGATGCTGTAACCACTAAAAATCAACCGGCACTTCATTTAGCCGCTAATGAAGGGTATTCAGTCATGGTAGGAATGTTGTTGGACCACGGAGCCAATGTGAACTCGGTGGATGATGACGGAGATACAGCGCTTCATATGACTTTAATGAAGGAACACGCACTACAGAGAAATCTGGGGGTAATGAAAAATGAGTAGCTTCATAAAATACCGTGCTGTGAGTCTATTCGTGGCGTTCAGTCTGTAAAACAAAGCTCTATAATAAAAAGCGCTGTAGTTGCGGAGGAGTGAAGGGGTCAGGTCACGTATACCTTTGCCTTTTCACTCCTCCGCCACTAGGACTTCTTTGGTCATTACGCTCTGTTTTACTGACTGAACGCTTGGAACAGGCCAACAGAATGTCGAAAGAGACATCGTATATTTTATCTCACTTTTTCTTCCTTTCAGCACGAGAGGATTAGTAATGTAAAATAGTCATAACATGGTTGGCTATGCATGTGTCGTTACTTTACCAGGACGTTTAAAGGCAACTCCAAAATAAGCTCATGTGTCGATTGCATCGGTTTAGACTATAATTCTGTTGTGAAGTAAAGTTACTGTTATTTTCATGCTTCAAGCGATGTTGTTGTCTAACTTCGTAAAACCGACTAGGTAAGGAACGGAGATCGACAAATAATTTCTACCATCTACCCCACCTTTGCCAATCATCCGCCCAATTAACTTTGCTATGACGTCACGGTAGTGCTGCGATCTCAAATAGGTTCTCACACTGATTGCAATAAGCAATAAGTACGACTGATGCAAATGGAAAAGTGATCAGTTGGTTCTCTGTTAGAGTCTGGCCTTCTCCACTGAATAGTGCTGTTTTATTTTAGTCTGGTCTGGAGTTTCTATTTGGAGTACGAAAGAGCAGTGCGTCCTTTGTTGCTGTCTCGCGCTGCTTGTTAAGCCATGGAGCTGACGTGTTGAAAGTCAATGGTTCAGGGAAAACACCGCTGGACATGTGTCAAGGATCAGAAGTTGAGCAACTCATTCGGAATATTGCAGCCGGTGGAGGGTATTCAAATGCTTTTGATTATTTTTTGATATCTGTAGTACGCCTTTCTATGTTATAGTAGAGCGGATTCTCGCCTCCAAAACACCTAAATTCAGATGAAATTTTTATCCTGGTAACAAAAAATGTCTCCGTATCTCTTGCCTGAATCAAAGGCACATTACCACTAAGGGGACAAATATTCAGTGCGAAGGATGCCACCTGAATGAAAGCCTTTTCAGTGCGTGTGGAAATTGCGTTTACATGATATCTAAGTAAAATTCTACTTTGCTTATCAACTGTAGGACCACACACGACAAGAAAGTTCCAAGTTTTGGATCCTCGAGTGGGTCGCAAACCGACCCTGAATTAGGCGATGCATTATCTTCAGCAAATGCAGCGACACAGGTAGGCGAAGCTGAAAAAGACGATGATGAAAATCAAACACATAGTACGAGTGGCACAGATGAGGCAGAAGATACGTTTTTACAGGGCATAATAAAGGACTTGTGTACTTGGAGATCAAGAAGACATTAGGGTAGACGAAACGGCTGAAGGTGCATCACATTATGTCACACAGGAAAACACATTGTGTCGCGCTAAAAGTTCAAAACGAGTCCTAAAGCACTAAAGAGATACCATTTTGTATCAGTAAGGAAAAAACTACAACGAGGATGATCCTAATAGGTTTAGTTGTCTTTCTGTAACAACCACACTATAACAGGTCTAACGCGCTCATTCTTTCATTAACAGGCGGACATCGACCTCGTGAATGCAGTGCAAAGCAACAACCTGTCAAGAGTCAAGGAAATCTTGGATACTAACCCAGAATTGGTACCTTTTTTCTTTCATTCCTTTTACTTCTACAGATAAGTCTCAACAGTTTTCTTGAATCAAAGCAATACAAGAAATATCAGCATAAGAAGAGTAATGCGTAACTTATGTTTTAGGAAAGAGCGATAGCTAAAAGCATGTATTTTTTAAACTGCTAGAATCAAATTTGAATTTGGTGGCGTTTAGGAAAATTTGACATGATCAAAGGTTTGTGTTTTTTCGCTCCGCACAGATTGATAAGCTAGTGGGTGGTCACACAGCTCTCCATACGGCATGTCGTCAGGGGCATTGTGACATCATTAGAGAATTGCTTGAGAGAGGAGCTAACATGAATGTACGGGTGAGTAACGAAAGTTTTTATTCAATCCAATGCTTTTAACCATCACTGTAAATTTTGCCCCGTTCAAATTACTGTAATTGTTAGTACTGGTTGAGGAGGATAACAAAGAGATGCATGATCGACAAGATTAGGTTATTATTTTTACATGGTTATGTTCTACATATCTCAGTGTTTCAGGAGAGGAGCCTTCTTAGTCACATTCTTTAATTTTTCTCAAAATACAGGATAATCAGGGATACACAGCCATGCATCACTCTACTTACCAGTAAGATGACCGAAATATCATAGTAATGTTAAATAAGCTGGAAAACTAAGAAATCTAAGATTGCTTTAGTTTTTCTTTCCTTCTCAATGCGATTGCTTTCGAAATCTTCAACCACCCCGTCAACCAATCGATAAAAAAAATTACCCACCATCATTAACTTTTGCTCGAGCTACTGTCGATAGCATGTGTTTGTTGTTGTTATTGTTTATTTATCCATCAAGATATTTATCTTTGTTCTGACTGGCTCTGATTGCTTTCACGTTGGTGTAATGACAACCCAACAAGCACCATTTACAAGCTATAATTGATATGTTTTTCTGTATGTTGTTGCTGTTTTTGTCGTTGTTTTTTTCTATGACACAGAAAAGCTGAATAAGAAACCCTTAAATTAATGGAGAATTTCTAAAATGCCTGGTGTTTTTATTGCACATGTATCCTCTCGATCATTTAGAGACGAAAGCGGTGAAGCATTAAAACTGTTACTGGAGAGAGGTTTTGACCCAAATGTTCAACATGGAAGCAATAAGAGCACACCATTACATTCGGCTGTGCAAAAGAAAAACGAAACAGCAGTACAGATCCTGACACAGTGCCCTGAGTGTGACGTCAATCTACAGGTTCGTGGGTCCTTTGAAGATATCAGTTTTCCTGGGAATACAAATTCCTGATACTTTCTAAGTCGACTGTCCGACTAACTCAGCAAACATGGCACATATTATTAGACGCATGTCGAAGTAAAATTTAAACCTAGTTCGACTGCTCGTGAAAAACATGAAAAATCTCTTATCGGTTAGTAAAAGGCACAAGATGTCTATTTGCTTCGACTTTGCTCGAATTCAAATGTCTCTGCACCGGACTGCTAGACATTTGTTACAATTTTAGATTATTTCATCCCATCATTTTTGTGATAAACTATACTGCTACCCAAACTGCCAGTCAAAATAATGTATAAAAGGCCGAATGGTATCAGGTGGCTCCTTATATCACGCTTCGACTCATTTTCAGGACGAGGCAGGTGATACCCCTCTGTATGATGCCATCCTTGCACAACACCACAGCATGGTGGATATGCTATTAGACTGTCCAAGAATTTGTTACACTCTTTGTAACGGAAAAGGTTTCAATTATCTTCAATACGCTGTTTTGAAAGGAAATAAACGGTAACTATGCCAAAATAACTTTATCGGTCACTACTCAGTTTGACAGCTTAGTCAGAGCTTAATCATAGCCAACTGATTCAGGTGTTAAGCATCAAACACTGAATAATGTTCCCACACCTAAGGCCTAGTGTTTAACTGATCGTCGCAATTTTCGAGACGATTGCGGCCGGGACATACTTGCCATCATGAGAAAGCTAAGCTTATGTGACTCTGGCCCATCTGGAAATTCATGGTCTTCCCGATCGTTAGGGTCGTTGGCTTGGTTTTCATGTGATTTGGGCAATTGGGGCAATCTGAGTGATCAGGAGGAAACCAGACCAAATCTCAGTCTCAAAATGCTTGTTATGCTGTTACCTAAGTTAATCGCTTTGACATCCAGAGTATCCTAAATATTTTTTGTCATTTATTTGCAGCGCCGTGGAGAGAATTTTTGCCAAAACCGAGAATTCCTTGAATGTTACCAAAGATGGTGGGTTTACGACCCTTCATATTGCAGCAATTAATAATCACCTTGAGATAGCTAAGATCTTGTTACAAAAGGTAATAGAATCTAAATTTTATTACGTATTTTTTTTTATTTTTCGCCCAAGGCTCGTTGTATGGTTTAAAGTGTCTCTGTGAGAATTTAAAGAGTGTCGCTTGTGTTCAATCCAATACGGAGTATAACGTTTTGCTTGTGGTTAGTTGGGGTGAAAACCACAAAACTAGGGGTTACTATTACACCTATTCTTCCCCTGTAAAAACCAGGAACAAGCCTACTTGTAGGTTTTGCATTGGCCAAGTGACCAACAAACTGATATCCTTGTTTCCCGCACATTGTTCATCAACACTTCTTTGGCGGGGATGCTACTCCGTCATACATTCCATGAGATTTCCCCAAGATGTCCTCTCCTGGCCAGAGGGAGGCGCTTTAGAAGACAACATAGTGGCCAGGCAGATCTTGTGACCACAACGGCTCGGTCTAGCGTCCAACCGCTGACCTTCAGGCCACTGAGTATTATTTTCATTGACAACTTTAACAAAAGGAGTTTACAAAACATTTTAATTATGAATCTAAATGCTTACTGATAAAGGTACATTAACGATGAGAGGGTATATTATTATCTAACAGCCGGGGTGTGAGGTCAATACTCCAACCGCTGAAAATCAATCAGCACTTCATTTAGCTGCAAATGAAGGGTATTCGGTCATGGTGGAACTGTTGCTGGACCACGGAGCCAATGTAAATGCAGTGGATAATGACGGAGATACGGTGCTTCATATCACTTTAATGAAGGAACATGCACTACAGAGAAAAATGGGATTAATGGTAAATAAGTTCATAAAGTTTAACCTCTCGAGATTTTTCTCCCTTTCAGCGTGAGAAAATAAGTTACGCAAAATAGTCATGAAATGATTTAGATAGTTATGCATGTGTCGTCCCTTTGAGGTTTAAAGGTTTCTCAAAAATTAGCTTTTGTGTTGTTCACATCGGTTTGGACGATGATACTGTTGTGAAGTAAATTTACTGCAGCTTTATTTCTTCAAGCGATGTCGTTGCTCAGCTTCGAAAAAACAACTAAATGGAGAACGTAGATAAGCAAAGAATTTCTACCATCTACCTTATCTTTTGAGAATCGTCTTCTTACTTCATGATCTCGCTGTAGTGCTGCCATCTCAAATAGGTTCTCACACTGCTTGCAATTAGTACAACTGATATAAAGGGAAAGGTGATCAGTTGGTTCTTTATTAGTGTCTTTGGCCTTCTATACGGAATAGTGTTGTTTTATTTAAGCCTGGTCTGGAGTTACTACTTGGTGAACGAAAGAGCAGTGCGTCCTTTGTCGCTGTCTCGCGCTGCTTGTTAAGCTATGGAGCTGACGTGTTGAAAGTTAATGGCTCGGGGAAAACACCGCTGGACGTATGTCGAGGATCGGAAGTTGAGCAACTAATTCGGAAGATCGCAGCCGGTGGAGGGTATTCAAATGCTTTTGTATATATTTTTAATATCTGTATACCTCGCTTCTAAAACATCTATATTCCGATGACATTTTTATCCCGATCACAATTAAGAACATTCTCTCGCTAGTCTCCGTATCTCTTGCCTGAATTTAGTCCCTTTCACATATATGATATTTAACGGAAAATTATACTTTGTTTAACAACTGTAGGACAACACACAACAAGAAAGTTCCAAGTTTTGGGTCCGTGAGCGGGTCACAAACCGAACCTGAATTAGGAGATGCGTCATCTTCAGCGAGTGCGGCGACACTGACAGGCGAAACTGAAAAAGATGATGAAAATCAAACAGATAGTGCGAGTAGCACAGATGAGGCAGAAGACACTTTTTTGCGTCGCTTAATAAGTGACTTGTGGAGTGTAGATCAACAAGAATCAGTATCACAGGAGACGTCAGACGAGATGGAGAGTGAAGACGTTCAAGAAGGCGAAAGAGCTAAAAGTGTACCACAGGAAACGGCCATGGTGGAAAATACAATGGTGGAAGACAAATTGTGTCAGGTGAAAAGTTCATGCGAAGTTTTAAAAGCACTTTTGTGATACCATTTCATATCGGTAAATACAAATTACAACAGGGATAATCCTTAAATGTGTATTCTGGAAGCATCATAAGAAGTCTGACGCCCTCAATCGCCTATTGCTTTTAAACCTTCTGTTTTTATCTGTATTAATTATGACGATGGTTTTCTCGAATATTGTACATAATAGTGTCAAAATATTACAGAAAGGCCTTCTATTTTAGACGGGACGGTTGTTGGGAGTTTTCCGATCATCTCTCTTACATTCATTTTGATTCGTGAGCTGGATAAGTGGTGTTACTCATTCAAAATTCTTTTTCGAAGATACCTTTTTGTTCTAGATAAGAAAAAATGACACTTTACTAGACTAAAATGCTTTATTAGGACTCGCTTTTGGTATAAACTCTCTTAAATCTATAGTTTATCAAAGGAGTTGAGTTATCTGATTTTTTTGTTTACAAGGAGAATGTGGTGCTGGAAGTGACTAATAGAGTTGAAGTGGAAACCTGGGCCTCAGGCATCTCAAACAACAGCGCTGTTCAACCTGCAGAAATGCTAGAGAAAAATACCGACATAGAAATGGACGATAGCGAGGGCCTACCATCACAAACACAACTAGTAGACGACGATGTAAATATGGATCAGGAGACAGAAAATGAAGAAAAAAATCCATCGACACCTGATCGTCAAAAAGTGCTGTGTTACATATGTGAGGAGACTGAGGCTGTTGTTGCATTCAAACCCTGTGGTCACACTGTTGTATGCACAGGTAGCTCTGCTTTTTGTGTTAGTTGCTGTTTTTTTTTTCTGTGTTCATCAATCGAATTTTGAAATAATTCTAAGTTTGAATTAATTCAAGCGTCGTTCATAGAAAATTGTCTCGAAAAAGAAAGCGACTTTGAAATACCTGTTTCCTTGAGAAGACAATCGCGAAAAGGTAAGAAGGATTCTAAGAGGAACGACCACGATTAAGTGTGGAGAAGATTAACACAGTTTGAAAAAGGCATCTTGATCTTGGTACCTGTTAACGTAATAATCTATTTGCAGAATGTGCAGCCCGATTAAAGAGATGTTTGGAATGTAAAACGCCTATTTCTGGTAAAGGAACGAGAGGTAACTTGCTTAGGGTTTTTTTTTGGATGTTACCCTTTGCTGCCGAGGTGTGGCTGATGTAGCTCAAACTAAAATTTCAAGCTTTCGACGATTCATAATATCGATCCATGGCATATCATCTTGATGATGACATGGATCGGCGAAAGCTTGAAATTTTAATATCTACTCCTAACAAAGAGGAGACGGGGTAATTTAGTATTATCAACTGAGTTGATAACGTAAATTGACCACCGTAAAGAGTTTCAAAGCTGACGTTGGGAGCGTTAGCCCTTCGCTCTGACGAAGGACTAACGACTAATACAGCACCACAGCTTCTTTGGAAACTTACCCCCTTTAGAGAAGAGACTGGCCTAACTTGAACCTTACTATTGCACCTTCATATCCATAATCAAGCTTGCTCTTCCTTTCACTTTTCCTCTGAATTGTCCGCAAGTTATCATTGCTAAAAAGATGCTGTTGATGATGCTGATAATACTGATGATGATAATAATAATAACAATAATAATGATGAAAATAATTATTATAATAGCAATGGTAATAATATTTCATGAGGGAACCAAACTCGCCAAGGCCGTTTTCAGCTGGGCCCTCAAATGATATGTCGGGTAGTCTTGGGTTTTTTATTCTTAACCAGTTTTCATGTCTTGTTGAATTTCATTTTCATTTATTTGAATTATTCTGAGCTTTCGCAAATATGCAGATTTTAAGAGCAAGAAAAAAAAGGTTCTTTGTCACCTTCGAAATAATACCATAATTTGGTTTGCCTTGGGAGAAATTGGCTGAAAATATTATTGAATTCAGTTCGCTCCAAATCTCTTCGCAGATGGTAACCCAATCATTGGAATTAACAACAAGTCCTTGGTCTCGCAATATCAGCAACTTGAAGTAAAGTTTCGGAAATTGGAGGAATCCGTTGTCTGTTGTATTTGCGTGGAAAGGAAGAAGGACGTCATTTTCCGCTGTGGTCACGGCGCATGTCAGTTTTGTGCAAAGCAGCTTAGTGTCTGCCATATTTGCAAAAAGCCCATTGAGATGAAAATACAAATATTTTAGTTGTGCGTGGTACCCTGGCGGCTTTTTTTTTTTAAACAATCTACACTATCTGCTGATACGCCATGAAAGCCTGTTCGATAAACAACCCCTACTGAGTGAAACCAGTCTTAATCCATGTTCTACAGTATTTAAGATTTACATGAAAAGTCAACGAAATAAGAATAAAAGCAATTCATATTGTGAGCTTCTCGAAAAGAAATCGAGTCAAATCAGGCCATATTTTCATGCTCCACAATATTTAAAGTTTTTCAGGGAACGAAGGAAGATCTTTATGAATCAAACGAGTTCAAATTGAATAATTTATTGTGGGGTGAAATGTGAGAGTGAATGGAATGCGATCAGTGTTTTCCTTCTCAGCCGTTTGTAATTCTAATTGTCGATCAATTTTTTGGGCACGGTGGTGGCCTGCTTGAACGACAGAAACAAAATAGCTACGTTTATCAAAAATCTGGCACATTGCTGGAGGACTAGAGGACAAGGTGTACTATTGGGATAAAATTATGCAAGACATCGTTGATGAAGGCTTCCCTCAGAAAAAGAAGCGAGTGAGGGATAAAGATACACCCTATATGAACACTGCATGGAAAAATGCTATCCGAGAAAAGAGAAGAGCCTTTAAGAAGTATTTAAATGAAAGTGAAATGTGGCAATGGGGCAGTCAGACAAAGAAGAATTGCTTTACGGAAATACTGGAAGAGAAAGCCTTCTGACCCTAAAGAAAACCCAAGAAATTTTTCCGAAACTTTTTAACCGTTTCTTGGATCTAGGAAGGGGGTCATGGGAACTGATATCAACTTAAAAGTTGACAGCAAGATCATCAGCAATCAAGAGACTGTTGCGGAAATATTAGCAGATCATTTTGCGACAATAGCAAGCGATATCGGAGAGTGACTTAAATAACCACCTAAGTGTCTTGCAAATACGAATGGCGAATGATTCAAAACCAATGATCTAGTCTAATCCAGTTAACCAAGTACAAGTCAGAAATGCTCTGGAGTCACTTAATACAAGAAAAGCATCTAGATGTGACAATTTGCCAGCCAGAGCACTGAAGTGTGGAGCGGAAAAACTTGGTATACCACTGGCGAATCTGTACAATTCATGTATTATAAATCGACAGTGACCAAGCAACCGAAAAAGGAGGGAATGGACGCCCGTCTTTAAGAAAGAGGATCCACAAGATAGTCGGAACTATCGACCAATAACTGTCCTTCCAGTGGTTAGTATTGTGTTTGAGCAGCTACTTAGTGACCAGATTTCAAAGCAATTTGACAGCCGTTTGGACCCCTGAATCACGGCATACCGTAAACGCCACAGTTGTGAAAAAACACTGATAAGTCTTATTAGTAACTACTTCGCATCTCTCCACATAAGCGGATATACGCCATCAGATGTATGAGACAGCGGGGGACCCGAAAATGGCTTTCATCAACCTTATGAGGAATGCCAATAGGGCCTCCGAATTGTATGCTAGCAATCTGTTAAAAGGAAATCTGAGTAAATTTCAAACTATGACTTTCAAGCATAACAGGACAGAAAGTAACATTCCATTACACTTACAAGGAAACATCATTGAATCTTCTGAATGTCTTAAGTTGTTAGGAGTTACCATAGATGAGCAGTTGAATTTTAACACTCACATCAATGAAATATGTAAGAAAATGAGTCAAAAGGTAGGTGTAATGTTGAGGCTTAAAAAACTTATCCCTACCGATGCTAAATTAACTCTGTATAAATCAGCCATATCGCCTTTCTTAACCTATTGCTACCTGACTTAGAATTCTGTCGTGCTAATGATAAAAGAAAGCTCGAACGGATTCAAGAAACAGCACTACGCGCAGTTTTCCTAGATAAGCAGTCAAGCTACCAAGCATTACTGGACTAAAGTGATCTAACGACGCTTCAGAACAGAAGACTGCAATATATTGCTATCCTTATGTATAAGGTGAAACACAAACTATGCCCCAGCATAATATGCGAGCTATTTCACACGCATTGTTCACCCTACAACTTAAGGGTGGCGGAGTTTGCTATCCCCAGATTTAGGACCAAGAAATATGGTAAACATTCGCTCAACTACCTAGGACTAGAGTTGTGGAATAAGCTACCGAACGAAATTAGAACCCTCCCATCATTATTTGGTTTTGAAATATCGTATCCGTAAATTTCATTTGAGCGTAATGGTAAAAGATGACAATTGTTCCAATTGCATCCTTTGTAATTCTTATTCTTTTTTATTTTTAATAATTTATCCCATAATTCGATAGTTAACTAGAGAATAATACATGGGCGCGCGTAGATATGGAGTTTCTCTTCGAGTGTTTAACTCGATAGCTCATGAGTGAGATGTCGAGTCGAACACGAGAAGAGAAATTCCATAGCTACAATTTACCATGTATTATTTTGTTTATCATATAAACACAATAGCCCTTTACAGGGGAGAAAAGCCGACTTCATTAATGAATGAAAATAAATGAATCGACAATCCTCAAATAACAATCGTAGAATGCGTTGGCGCTGACTCTTAAGATGGAAAAAAGCGTTGAATTATGATTACAAAAACAACAATGGTCGTAATTTTCAATTTACAAAATTCTCATTTATTGACTTTGTCCTTACCGACGGAAGAATTGTCTTTCACATAAACGGCCAAAATCGGCCAGTGGCAAATCTTCCAGTTGTCGATTTTCATCTCAGCCGTGAGAAATGCTAACACCAAAGCCACTGAATACGCAATTTTCGGTTTTTCTTTTAGTATATTGGTTTTCTTCGCCTTCTAGGAAAGTTTGAACCTCACTGTCTGTCAGCGATTCCGATTTTTTAGTGTTTTAGCCGCCATAATTCGAGAAAGCTCCGACAAACAACTTGTATTGAGAATCGTGAAGACTTTGCCGTTCATTCATCAACCTGACTGAGAGGCGCCAAAGGCGAGTGACGCGTTAGCAGCTGATTGGCTATATCAAGACACGTGAAAAAATACGACATTTTTTCACGTGTGTTGTTTCAACTATATTGTATTGTAACACAATTTCAACTATATTGCATTGTTAATTACATTGTTAGGCTTTTTTTTAGAAGTTCATTAGAAAAAAGTTAGTAGGTAAGTGTCCCTTATTAGTAGAAGGGTTTTTAACCCCATCGGCTAGATATTCAAGACACATTAATAAATTTTGTGACGATGATGACGATAACTGCCTATGATTTTTCGGAAAAATCAGAGTCGTCACTACATAAACGACGAAGTCTGAGAAACTGTGAAAAAGGTAAAAGGTATGGAATTCTTGACGTGTGATGGATTCGAAGATGAATAAAACAAGTAACTGTGTGAATCTGTAGGTTTGTAGTAAACACTAGTGCATACACCGCTGCATTCAATTGCAATTTTGATGTCTAGAAAAGCCAAAGAAGTGTCGGAAATTTCCCAGTTATATTTAAGAGCCGGGTGAAAGGAATTGACGGCGGTTATAAATTATGTGACCTCCTCTCTGGTAGAGGAGGTAGTGCCGATGCAGTTGTCAATGTAACGGCCGTAAAGTTCAAGTTTGGGGCCGTGGTATTGACTAAAAAAATGAGGATTCGTTAATGACGACATACCCTTGGTTTTGAAACTTCGACGTTCTTTGATGGATCCCTATTGGTCTTTGAGTAAAGGACAACAAATACAATGCAAACTTATCTTCTAGTTAAGGAAAATACATTTAGAGCAGGTTTAGCAGATACAGAATGAATGGTGGACCGCAATCAAATGTATCGACCAGTTTTCAGGACTCTATGACAGATCTCTTTTATTTTCCTCTTTTATTCGTCTTCGATGATTTGCTTTTCTATTATTGGTTTATAATTAAAGGAACTGTAAAGCAAACGGCTCTCCGAAATCTGTAGGTTTCTTCGTTGAATTCGTCGCAGAGCAGTGCCGGAGGTAAAATAATGTTTTTTACCATATCCAACATCCACGCAATACTTTTTAAATAAATATCGTCATCCACACAGATTGTATTTATCAATCTCTATCTGTTTCAACATGTCCGTTCCTAATCTTTTTTCGGATTCTCTAAAATTAGCATAACAAGAAACGTGAGGTAACGCAACATTTAGTTAACCAATGACGTGTCCTGAATGATGCGTAGGGGAATCCCCGACAGTTGATGCGGTCATGAATTTGGTATTCTAGGAAAAATATATAGCTTATATTAGCATTTTATCGCCAACGCAGCATTTTCTTTACAGCCCCAATCGGCAACTGTTCTTACTGATACATCTTGATTAATTTTAGAATTGAGAAAGGAACTTGTTAGCATTGTGTTAAACCGGCAGAAGGGTACTGAATCGCAACCATCCGACGACTGGCTCGCCAAACAGGAATATTTCTTATGCAAGATATTTGCTTCTCCGTTATCTAGGAAAAGACGAGATCTAGAGAAGCTTCCATCAGATCTTGTCAGTATAAACGTGATAAGGAAAATCCTGGTATAACTATGACAATAAATCTTCTAGGCACCCGAGTTGTTCGTGGTCAAGATTGGGAATGGGGAAACCAAGATGGCGGAGAAGGTTTTGTAGGTACAGTAGTTCAAGTCGGAAGAGACAAGAAGTCGCCTGTGACAGAACAGCTTGTTTACGTACAGTGGGATTGTGGAGGGAAGCACAACTACAGGGCTGGAATCGAAAAGAAACACGATCTTCGAATTTTTAGTTTCACAAATGGCGGTGAGTGACGATTTTAGTTTCTTGTCGATTATCTTACTTTAAACAAAAATATTTGCCCAGATTCATCCGAACAACTCTTGCTGAATATTATATTCCTTAAATAAGATAAAATGCAATCTCAGCACTTCTGTTAGGAAAGCAAATGATGGCACAATTTCAATGAAATTGAATTTAACACACTAACACGAGGTTTAGAAATCATGCGGACTGACAATTGATACGGAAAAAAATCATTGGACTTTTCACCGGAGTTGAAATCTTGTGACAACCTTAGCTGAAATTAAACAGCGATCCTCGTTTCAAATTTTATTTTTCTCGTTAAATGCTTCCCTCGCAAAATTTAAGGTCGTCAAACTTATCGATTGACGCTTTGTTTTTTACTTCACATAAGTTTATATGCATAGAGTTCGAATTCTCAGACCACGGGTTTTTTTATTTGCATAAGATTTCTCCCACATCAACTGCATACTAGGTGAAAAGGGGTATGTTACAGCGTGAATCTGTTGTATCACAAAAAGCTGCGTTCAGCTTCCCACAAACCCAGAGCTATTATTAAGTCAGAGAGTAAGTTGTTGAAACTACAAGTCAAAGTAGTTTGTCGTAAAGTGACCTTGAAAGGCCTTAGCCCTGAGGTATCGAGTCTTCCTTGTTTTCAGAAAAATTTAAGTTGCTATCAACTTGTTATTGATTTAGGCGGCCGAAAA